AGCACCGAACGGATCCCCGTTCAGCCACGCGCGGTGTCTTACCACGCCACGACCGCCCGACCGATGGGATCTCGTCCCAGCCGATGCTGCGCTGCAGACGCAGTCTTCAGGCTGCCCCGCTACCGCTCCCCAGTACGTCCACACGTGCTCCACGTTTCCTCCCCTCACGGGTACGGTGAGGCGCTGGACGACAACCATTGCAGATCGGACCAACCATCGACGCGGGATGCGCTCGAACAACCAGATAGCGACGGGCCAGCACCAAGGCCGCATCCAGCCTGGTGTACTCGTCAGCCGTAGCGACTCCATGAACTTCACTTCAAATTCGCCACGACGGACTGTACGCCGGGTTGACCGCTGACGATTCACACTCCTACTCCCGCTAACCCGGGACCAGAAGTACGGCCTTCATCCCTGGCGCATAGCTGAGCGGGACACAGCATCCGCGCGTGACTTGCGGACTCTCCCTCCAGCACCAGCTTCTTCTCCGCCTAGGAAGTGCAGGCTCTCAATCACCAACGGCTTCCCGACTCCCGCGCGTACCCACCACGTCCCGACACCGCGTCTATCCAATCACGCTTCGCGCGGATGGTGGCTCTTGCGGTAGGCCACAGCGGCACCCTGCCACGCTTTCACGTAGTTCCACTCGCATCGGTTCCGCTACCGCGAGATGATCGCATTCAGATCAACGCCGATGGCTCCACGCCGCGGTCCGTGGTTATCTCCACCTCCGGCACTCCGTGGTGCGAATACCGCACCCCTTTCGCATCACGCTTGAAACGGTAGCTAATGGCTTGACCAAACCTCGTGGCTCGAGCCTCCTGCTCACTCAAGCGTTCCGTCGGTACACAAAACAACACAAACAAAGCAAAGACCAACGTGTCCAGCACCCAGCCCGCTCTGCCAGCACATCTTTCGTGCTCGTCGCCGCATCAACCCACATCCTGCATACACACCTCAACGTTTGGAACCCCAGGTACTGTGCGTGCCGTCCCGCCAGGCTATGCGGCATCCGCAACCGCAGCGGTTCCCAGAGTGCCGTCGTCATTGACGGACGCACGCACAGCTGGCACCCCGCCGTTTCACCCCTGGCTGTCCCAGCACGAAGAAATCGTTGCTACTGCGACCATCGCCGCCCAGTCTGCTGTCACGCCATCCTCATGACTGGCATACCCATTCGGCTGCTCAAGGTGATGCTGCTAACGCCACAACTGTCTTGGAGCCGAAGCACAACCGCACGGCCGGCAGCCAGGTCGGCCCTCGTCCGCCAGCGGCGTGAACTTCAGGTTAGCCACACGCCGCCGTCTTCCGTGCACCTGCCGCAGTAGGCATTCTTTTGCTCAGCCTTATCAACCACTTGCTTTCGTGACGGCCACCCGACGCCCCGCAGGCTCTATCCAGCTGCAACAACTGGGGACTCCCGCACCGCCGACAACCTTGCCGTCCAGCGAGACCCGCACCGCGTTGAACATCGCTGCGGTATCCCCGTGCTTCTAATCGATGACTACGCAGCTCTTCTTCGACACCGCCGACCGGCCCGCCGCCACGTCGGCGAACAGCTTATGTGGCCCTTGCCATACACGCGCCTACGCCGACAGCGCGGCATCGCCAACAGCACGGTCAATGCCCTTCATAAGCCGCGATGCGGGTCTGTACGACCTCGTCTGCGGGAGATAGCTTCAGACGAATAGCCGACTGACGACGACGTTCCCTGTTATGAGCCATATCTGTCAATGGTAACAGAACACAGGTTCGCCTCACCGCAAACCATCGTCACGAAAAAACCAAGAACGAACCAAACGCTACGATTGCATACCATTGCCTACCAAATCGCCAACTGCTTCCAACCCCTTATTTCCGCAGCGTTGGTTAAGGGCGCGTCGCTTAGGTCGAAATCGCGCAAGATACAGAGGAACAGGTTGAGAAGGGAGGTTTCTCCGCGGACTCATCAAAGTCAGCATCTATCCAAGCGGTCGTTACGCAACCGTCACAGCGAGGCGATCCTGCCCCCAGTCTTGCAGCAGCCTTATGTGGGAGGCTCGCTTTGCTCCACGCTGGAGAAGTTGGTGATGGCCACATCACCGGCGGGGAACGACGCGACGATGCGCAATTGTCCGCCGATCGACTCGATATAGGAGCGCAGGCTGGAGATATACATATCGGCCCGCTGTTCGAGCTTCGCCACCGCGGGCTGGTTCACCTGCAGGCGGTCCGCTAGATCCTGCTGGGTGAGAGCCATGGCTTGGCGCAGCTCACGCAAGGGCATCTCTGCCAGCAGTTCGGCCTTTTTCGTTTCCACCCGCCGGCGCCGGTCCGGCGTGAAATCCTTGGTTAGTTCATGAAACTGATGGCGTCCGCTCATGGGATGATGCCCTCCTCACGCAGTTCTTCAAGATGGTCGTCGTACAACGCATCGGCAACGGGCACGTATTCTTCGTAGAACCGGTCGTTCCCGGTTTTGATCCCTCCGATCAACAGGATCGAGACGCGTCTGGGATCAAAAGCATAGAAGGTGCGTAGCGGCTCACCTCCGCTCTGCGTCCTCAGCTCCCTCATGTGGCTGTGCCTCGACGTGGATATCCCTGAAGAGTAGGGATACGGCAGTGTGGGTCCGCGCTCCGTCAGCAACTCCACCGAGGCTACCAGGTCATCCTGCTGACCCTCGCTCAGGGCATCCCACCAATCCTTGAACTGGTCCGTGTACTCGACCTGCCACGGCATAGGACAAGTATATTCCTCAAGAGGAATGACCGCAACTTGATTAGACCATGGATGTAGTAGCGGTTACGCGCAGCTTGAACGCATATGCGACGCAATATGGAACGATGTTCCAACGAGCGTACAGCCCACAAACCCCGAAATGTGCGGGGAATTTACCGCCGGCTATTGAGCAGAGCCGCCGGCGTATAGATCCCAATCGGGTTTGTTGGGATGTGCTCGTAGGTCTGGACTGGGCCCAAGGTGTTCAGCAGTTGGCCTACGAGCATGGCCAGTCCAGCTGGCACAGCCATGAACAGATGGACCCGTCCACTGATTACGTAATCGCTTCGGGCTCGGCGAACAGCCTCAACCGTTTGCCGGGCAAGGTCCACAACTTGGCCTGGCGTTTCCAAAACGGCGCCCTGTCTGCTATCGGCGCGGTTGAGGTGGACATAAGCCCTGAACGGCCCCGTTTTATCTTCTGACGCCGCGGTTGTCCCGGCTGCACCGGAATGGGCGGCCTGGTGTCGGCCAGCAACTGGGTCGAGGTCTCGTCAAAGCAGACCACCGGCCGGTCTGGGTCGTAGGGCTCAGCATACAACTCCAGCACGTCCTCCATCGCCGCCACGAATTCCATGGCCGCCACGAATTCGCCCGTCTACTTTCGGGATGCACCACTGCCGCTTCCGCCACGGCTGGAGGACGTTTTTTTTGAGCCTCAACCGCACCGTCTCATGGGACAAGGATTCCACCACCCCCAACTCCACCACTTTGTCGGCAAGTAGGTGCAGGGTCCAGCGGTCATGGCCATCGGGCGCTGGGCTGCACGCCAACGCAATCAGGTGGGCTTCGCCCCGATCGTCCAGCTTGCAATACCGGTTGGCCTGGACCCGGTCTTGGATGACTCCCGCCAATCCCTCCTCGACGTACCGCCTTTTGGCCCGGTACACCGTACCCTTGGACACGTCCAAAGCGGCCGCCACCTGGGGTGCGCCCTCATCAACTTTAAGTAGAATGCGCGCCCGGGCGACGATGCGAGCCGAACTTTTGCCGCTACGTATCAGTCGGCTCAGTTGCTCGCGTTCGTCCGGCATCAACCGTACTGCGTATTGCTCCAGGGCCATGTTTGCCACACCTCCCCACAACTCGATCTTGCGGGCAGCGTAGCATTTGTAGGCCTTTCACTAATACAACTTACATTACTGATTTGAACCAGTACTAGAGGATTTGCGACAGGAAGTGCTTGACCCGTTCATGCCGGGGATTGTTGAAGAATTCATCCGGCGGTTGGTCCTCAACGATCAGCCCTTCGTCGAACATTACGATACGATCGGCCACCTCGCGGGCGAATCCTAGTTCGTGGGTAACCGCCAGTATGGTCATCTGGGAGGCCGCCAACTCGTGCATCACCTCCAGCACTTCTTTGATCATCTCCGGGTCCAGTGCGGAGGTGGGTTCGTCGAAGAGCATGATGTTGGGTTGCATGGCCAGGGCCCGGGCGATGGCCACCCGCTGCTGTTGACCGCCCGAAAGCTGCGCCGGATATTTGTCGGCCTGCTCCGGGATGCCCACGCGCTCCAGCAGTTCCATCGCAATGGCCTCCGCCTCCCGAGCCGGCAGCTTGCGTACCTTGGTGGGAGCCAGCGTAATGTTGCGCATCACGGTCAGATGCGGAACAGGTTGAAGGACTGGAAAACCATTCCCACGTCCCGGCGAATGGTGTCGATGTTTCGCACGTCATTGGATAGTTCAATCCCGTCAACGAATATCTCCCCGCGCTGATGCTGTTCCAGCCGGTTCAGAGTGCGAATGAAGGTGGACTTGCCGGAACCGGACGGCCCGATGATGACCACAACTTCACCCCTCTTGACGGTGGTGGTGATGCCTCGCAGGGCATGGAAGTTGCCGAACCACTTGTGCACGTCGTGGCAAACGATGATGTCATCGGTTGCGGCGGCAGTATCAGCTCTCATCGTCGCGCCTCCGTTATGCGTTGGCCAGCTGAACGAATTACTCGGTTTCGGAGCGTTGGCGTTCCTGGGCCAGCTGCTCTTCCAACCGCCGGGTGAGGGCCACGGCTTCGTCCCGTTCTTTCCTTGCTTCGGCCAGCAATTTGTCTTTCTTCGTCCAGTTTCCGTTCCGCTTCGACCTGCTTACGTTCCGCTTCAATGCGACGGCCCGATTCTCTCCAGTAAAGCATGATGTCCGGCCCTCCTACGATCCCGTTCGCCAGCAGCATGGCAGTCATTATGCGAATCATCAATTCGCCCGAAGTCAGGTCCGCTTCTCCGTGACTGACGATATAAGTAATCGCGCCGATTAACACGTCCAGCCAGATATAAAATAGAACCCACGCTAGTCGACGCCAAAGCGCTCCCATTGCCTAATCCTGTTTCGTCATTCTAGCAGAATGCCCGGGAATACCCGGACTATCTGACGCCCACACCCAGGTGCTGCTCAACCTTGCCGCTGACATACGACATCCCGAAAGTAAACACCCAGAACACCAAAGCCAGGAAGATAAACGCCTCCGCGGCGTTGTCCAGGTACTCGGTGTTGCCGGAGATGAACACGCGGCTCACTTCAACGATGTCTAACATACCGATGATGTAGACCAGGCTGGTGTCCTTGAAAAGACCGATGAACTGCCCCACGATAGCAGGAATGACGTTGCGGATGGCCTGGGGCAAGGAGATTAACAAGGTGGTCTGCCGGCCGGGAAGTCCCAGCGCCCGTGCCGCTTCTGCCTGGCCGGTATGCAGCGCCTGCAGGCCGCCGCGAATGTTCTCTGCCATATACGCCGCGCTGAACAATGTGATGACCACTGCGGCGCGAAACAGCGAATTCTGAGGGAAGTCCTCCGGAAAGGCCAGCGGCACCAGGGTTTGCGACATAAACAGCAGGGTTATCAAGGGCACCCCGCGGAATACCTCGATGAAAGTTACGCACAGCACCTTGACCACCGGCAGCTGACTGCGCCGGCCCAGGGCCAGAGCGACCCCGATGGGGAAGCTGAGCACGATGCCCGCTACTGCCAGCAGCAGGTTCAACATCAGGCCGCCCCAGTTGCGAACTGATACCGGTTGCAACCCCGGCACTCCGGGCAAACCGCGGAGCAACACCAGAATTATCAGGAAGGCCACAACTGACAGGGCCGCAATCCAGCGCGGCGTCCCTAGCGGGGTGTAGCGCGCCAATGCCCAGCCCACCAGCAATGCCGGCGCGTTCGCCAGCAGCAGCAGGCGCACGTCCCATCCCATCCGCTCCAGGTCGTAGGGCAGGAATGCGAACAATGCAATTATTACCGTCGCCACTATGGAAATGCGTTTGGCCAGCCCGCCGCCGGCGACGACCCATCCCATTCCCAGCAGCGCCGTTACCATCAACAACGCAACCTGTGGCCTCCAGAAACAGTTGTTGCCGGGGCAGGCTTCGGTCGTATTGTACTGGCCGATGACAAACCGGCCGCCCAATTTGGTTGCCACAGTCCAGTCGGCGTCAAAGAGCACCCAGCCCAGCCCGAACCACAAGCCCAATACTAGCGCCGCGCCGAACATGGCGGTAAGCAGACTATTAAACCAGTTGCCAAACAGATTGACGCGAATCCATCCCACCGCCCCCACGCTCAGCCGCGGCGGTGGCAGTGCGGACGCCGATTGCGCCGGGGACGGCGGCGCAGAGTTGGATTCAACAGCCACTACCTACCTCGGAGACCGGCTATCAGGAAAACCGGATGTGCCGGTTGTACAGGTTGCCAATCAGCGACCAGGTCAGGCTCATTGCCAAATAGGCTGCCATCAGCACCATAAAGATTGAAATTGCCGGCGCAGTCTGGGTCATGGTCTGGGCAACGCTGGTCAGCTCGGTAAAACCGACCGCCAACCCCAAGCTGCTGTTCTTGGTAAGGTTAAGGGACTGGCTAATCCACGGCGGAATAATTACCCGCAGCGCTTGCGGGAAAGTAACTTGCCGCAAGGTACTCATTGTCGACAACCCCAGCGCACGGGCCGCCTCCGTCTGGCCACGCCCCACCGACTGGATGCCCGCCCGCACAATTTCGGCGATGAAGGATGCGGTGTACATCACCAGGCCAATCAGCAGCACCAGCAGGCCCGCCCGGAAAGTGTAGCCGCCGCTCACCCGCGCGAACCGGCCCTGTGGCTCTGGCGTTGAAATGACAAACGGCGCGTCGCCGGATACGCCGCTAATTACCAGCCAGGCTACGGCGCCGGTGAGCGCGACTATCGCGCAGCCGCCCAGCAGAGGGTATGACGCCCGGCCGGTTTCGATTTCCCGTCGCGTCAGGCGGCGATGCGCCAATGCCCCCAAGCAAACGGACGTTGCCGCCGCCGCCAGCCAGATTAGCGCCGGCCAAAACCCGGTTGCCGCGGGCCAGGCCATAGAGATGCCCGCGTTGTTGATGTATAACTGCCCGGCGATCACATAGCTTTCGCGCTCCACCGGGAGCGCAAGTATGATGTAAAACCAGAAAAGCAATTGCACCAACAGCGGTACGTTGCGGAAAAACTCAACATAAATGAGCGCCAACCGCGAGACAATCCAGTTGCCCGACAACCGTGCGACACCGATTACGATGCCGAGCAGTGTCGCGAGGATGACGCCCACCACAGCGACCACCACGGTGTTAAGGGCCGCTACGCCAAAGGCGTACAGGAAAGTATCGGAGGATTCGTAGGGGATAAAAGTATCCCCAATGGGCGTTTGATACTCGCGGGACAGGAAACTGAAGCCGTAGGGTATATCCCGGTCCTGAACGGCGTTGCCGATGTTGGTGAAGAACCAGATGACCAGGGCAATGACTACAATACCGGACGCCACCTGCGCTGCCCACTTAATAATTTGGGCGTGCCGCCAGATAGGGATACCCTGGTAGGTCAAAGCTCGCAGTGGCTGGCTCATAACGATGTCAGGTGGAGCAGTCGGGTACGCCGGGAATGACAGGGCGATTTTAGCGTATCCTGACAACGTTTACTTTCCGGCAAAGGACGATTAACCAGGATTTTGCCAAACTCTGAAACTCTCCGGCAAGTTAACAGTCGTAGGGGCGGGTTTTGAAACCCGCCCCTACCTCGTCCCCCGTGGGAATACACCGGCTATGTGTGCGTACTTATCGCAGGGGCGCGGCGTACACCTGGCCGCCCTTGGGGCAGTCGGTGCAGGGAGCGCTGGCCCACAGCGCGTTGCGGCTGCCTTCGCGCTGCAGCCCCAGCGGGGTCAGATGACGGTCGTAAATCTCGCCGTAGTTGCCCACGGCGTTGATGACATCCTGCGCGGCAGTCTCGCTGAGGCCCATGGTCTCCTGACCGTACGAACCTTCCAGCCCGAATAGACGGTCAACCGCTGTGTCGCCGGTGACAGCGGTCGGCACCGTATCAGCAGTAATCCCGTAAGCCTCGGCGTAGATGAGGATAGCCATACCGTGCTTACCAGGTCGTACCACTTCTCATCACCGTGGGGCACTACCGGGCCGAGGGGTTCCTCGGAGATGGTGCCGGCCAGGATAGTATGGTCGTCGGGGTTGTCAAATCCGGCCCGCGTGCTCACCAGCCCGGAACGGTCGGTGGTAAGGGCGTCGCACTGGCCGCCGGTGTAGGCGGTGCTGGTGGTCACGTTGTCCGGGAAGACGACCACGTCAATGTTCAGGTTGTTCTGGTTGATGAAGTCCTGCAGGTTCAGCTCGGTGGTGGTGCCCTGTTGAACGCAGACTTTGGAGCCGTCGAGTTCCATCATCCGGATAGGCCCAGGCTCTGGGGAACCATAAAGCCCTGCCCGTCGTAGAACATCGTGGGCGCGAAGTTGCCCCACTGGGCGTTGCGTGAGCTGGTCCAGGTGGTGTTGCGGGACATCATGTCCACTTCGCCGGACTGCATCGTCGGCCCCCGCTCGGAGGCAGTGGTGGGCCGGAACTCCACGGCGTTGGCGTCGCCCAGGACGGCGGCGGCTACGGCTCGACAGAGGTCAATGTCAAAGCCCCTGGTGTTGCCGTTGTCATCAATAAAGCCGAAACCCGCCAACCCGTTGTTGCTGGCGCAAATCACGGTGCCCCGATCCTGAACGGTGGCCAGACGGCTGGTTCCCTGGTTGTTGCCTGAGGTGGCTTCGCTGCCGCCCGGCATGGCGGTGGCTTCCGCTGGCTCAGTGGCTGTCATAGCCGGCTCGGTGGACTGCATGGCCGCAGTCGGCTCCACTCCTCCGGGGGTTGGCGCCGGGCTCTCTTCAGTCGTTGCAAGCGAACGCCGCGAACACGACCACCAATAGCGCCGCGCCGGCGATATACTTGAAATACCGATTCATCAAAGATTTCCTCCTGCGGTGTAATGTCAGGGCAATCGCGTCTTGCGGTAAATCGTATAACAGTTGCCACTTTACATTACGATCAAAGATACGACGTTGCCTCAGTCATGCTATGCACGTGGCGGGAAGCCGCGAATTACTGGCCAAACCATCGTCGGCCAGCCCGTGAAGGAGGTTTTAGGGGCGAGAATCGGCAGCGAAAAGCTCTGGCTAGCAGACATGTCGCGTGGCTCAATTAAGACCGCTGCCCTAGAAAGCTGGCCGGAAACCCCGGTTGATTTGGCGAGGGGTATACTCGGGCAATCAAGGCTAGCGGAGCAGGGCAATGCTGGGAAAGCGTTCGGACCAGAAGGGCCTGTGGGAAGCGGACCGGTTGTATCTGGACTACGTGGGCCAGGACACCTTCTACGGCTTGCTGGCCTCGTTGCGGGGCCAGCTGTTCAGCGATGACGATTTCGCCGAGATCTACTGTCCGGACAATGGACGGGACAGCGTGCCGCCCAGCCTGCTGGCCACGGCGCTGCTGTTGCAGACCTACGACAAGGTGAGCGACGCCGAGGCCAAGGCGAGGGCTGACTTCGACATCCGGTGGAAGGTCGCCCTGGGGATTGAGATTGAGGATAGACCCTTTGCCAAGAGTACGCTGCAGATGTTCCGGGCGCAGTTGATACTGCACGACAAGGTGCGGGAGGTGTTCGAGGGCAGCCTGCGCCTGGCGCGGCAGTCGGGCTACCTGAAAAAGCGTGGGATGCGGGTGGCGCTGGACACGACCTACATCCTGGGACGGGGCGCGGTGAAGGACACCTACAATCTGCTGGCGGACGGCATCGTCAAACTGTTGCGGGTCCTGGCGGCCGTGGCGAACGCCACCTTGCCGGCATGGGCGGAAGCCCAGGGGTACGAGAGGTACCTGGGCTCCAGCATCAAGGGCGAGGCGACGATTGACTGGTCGGACCGCAAAGCGCGGCGGAAGCTTTTGGGGGAGATAGTGGCCGATGCGGACCGGCTGCTGGAACTGGCGCGACAGGCGTGGGTGGAATTGCCGGAGGACAGCGGCCCAGCGGCAGAGCATAGTGGATGGGGCGGAGTTGCTGGGACAGTTGCTGCTCCAGGACATCGAGCGCAAGAGCGGCGATGGCGATGCTGATGCTGATGATGCTGATGACGGGGTGAGCATCAGGGATGGGGTGAGCAAGGACCGGATGCTGTCGGTGCATGACCCGGAGCTGCGCCACGGGCACAAGAGCAGCCGGCGGCGCTTCAACGGGCACAAGGCGGCCATCGTGGTGGACACCGACTCCCAGTTGATCACCGCCGTGGACGTGCTGCCGGGCAACGCTCCCGACAATCTGGGGGCATTGGAACTGGTGGAGGCGAGCGAAGCGAGTACCGGCTCGGTGGTGGAGGAAGCCATGGGCGACGCCGCCTATGGGGACGGCGGGACCCGCCAGACCTTCGCCGACGCGGGACGCCGGTTGGTGGCCAAAGTGCCGGGCCGGCCCGACCGGAAACACTTCCCCAAAAATGACTTTCACCTTGACCTGGCCGCGGGCAGTTGCACCTGTCCGGCGGGGCAGGTTACCCACGCCATCGTGCCGGCGGGAAAGCGGACGGATGGCGCCGGTCGTGTCTATCGATTGCAGGCTTTCCAGTTCGACGGGGCGGTATGTGGGTATGTCCACTGCGGCCCCCAGTGCATCGCGGCCCAAAGGCCGGCAGGGACGGCGGGTGCTGATCCATCCCCAGGAAGCCCTGCTGCAGCAGGCCCGGGCCTTGCAGCAAAGCGCCGACTACGACGAGTATCGAGCGCGACGGGTGGTAGTGGAGCACAGATTGGCCCGGCTGGTCCAGCTGGGCATCCGGCAGGCCCGCTACTTCGGTAGGGTCAAGACGAAATTCCAGGTGTACTTGGCTGCCACGGGGGCCAA